CGCGTCCGCGACCGCGGGGCCCCGGCCAGGCCCCGGCGCCGCGCAGGACTACGCAGGGCGCAGGCACGACTGCGGACGGCACCACGGTACGGCACCACGGTGCGGCCCCTGCGGCCCACACGCGGATCGGCACTGGCTATCCGAACAGAGTAATGGTCGCTCTGTCTCTCTCACACTCATGGGGTGTCCCGTAGGGGTGCGAGAGAGACAGAGCGACGGTGCGCGGCGGATTCAGTCCAGTCCACGGACGCTCGGCAAGCGGCCGGGCCGTCTCCGTGGGACGCCGCGCCACGCTGCGCGTTTCGGCACTTGGAAGCCAGGCTTGCGGACTGATTCCGAGAGTCGTTTTCGTCGCTCTGTCTCTCTCGCACCGAAACGAGACGCCCCATGAGTGCGAGAGAGACAGAGCGATCAGTCCGTCGAGCTGAGTGATGGCCGCTCCGCTGCTTCCCGCGCGCTGCCCCGCGCTAAGCACCCGACTGTGCCTGCCATTGTGCTACCGACGCTACCGGCCCAACGGCCCCCAGCCGGCAATAGTTTTCTTCTCCTTTCCCGTTCCTCCGGCAACAAATGCACTCGTTTCGCGCTCAGCTCCACTCAGGGCCTCGGGGCAAGGCCTCGGAGCTCCCTGCCTGGAACCTGGAAGACCTGGAATCGGCAATTAGCGCGAATTGTGCCCGTTTTTTCACAGCTGACTGCCCCCGCCTCGAGTGTGGTTGCGAACAGCGCGCCGTCGCGCCGTCTCTCTCGCACTCGGAGCAACGCCCCATGAGTGCGACGGAGACGGAGCGACGGAGCGCTGTTCGGAATCAGTCTCGCTGCTCGGCCGCCGCGTCGAGCTCCAAGCGTGCCGCGTGGTCTTGGCGCAAAGTGTTTCCGCTCCGGGCGATCGCACGCCCTCCGGCCCGGCAGGGCCCGGCCTCTGCGCCGCGGCCCCAGGAAAGGTGGACAGGCGGGTGTTTGAACCCCGACCCATCTCCACGGGCTGCCGTTGAGGCACCCTCGCTCGGCGAAACGATATTCCCTGTCCACAGGTGTCGACACGTCAGCAACAGTCGCTCAACAAAAGGGATAACCACAACAGCCCCCTATGCTCGACCGACAAAAAGTCTGTTTCCCAAACTACCGGCTGGGCCCCCGCTACCGTCCCTCAGAGTGTGGTGGCTCCCGACGACCGCCCTGCCCAAGGCCCTGCCCGCCCCCTCGGCCACCGCCCCGCCTCCGGAGCCCCGGTAGCCCCGCCCGCCCCCGTGCAGTAGTACCCCATCCTGGAGCCCCCCTCCCCGAATTCCTATCTTAATTGCCCTACTGTTCGGTAGTCCAGGCGGTATGCCCGGGCGGCCTGGGCGAGCCGCTTCTTCGGTGTAGTGGGCCGAGCGGCCAGGGACGCCTCGCCAGGCCCTTCCCTTCCCTTCTCCGGCGAGGTGAGTCACTCACGCAGTCCGGCTCCCCTACCCTGCTTCCCTCTTCCCCGTCGTCTATTTTTATTCCATCCTCGTTTTTTCCCCGTTTTACTCCCTATTCTTTTGTTCGAAAGCAAAACGGTGTGGTGGCGGCGTAACGAGTCAGCTCGGGAGGGGCAGGTTCGTGGGTTCAAGTCCCGCCACCGCCGCCGCCCCGCGAGCTTGCCTTTCCGAATCCCCAGCAGTCGCTCGCAGAAGAGACGACATTAATTTGAGGGGGGTACCCTCCCTGCTCCCGCCACTGGACGAGTGTTTTACGCCACCGTCGCCTCGGAGGAAACAAAACCCCAAAAAACATCCGTTACGGCAGGGAGGCTGCGAACTGCTCCTCAGACTGTTGCTATGGTAAAACTCAAAAAGATTTCACCGTCGGGGTCATTTTTCTGCACAGTGTAATGGATGCGACTGGGCAAGCCCGCTCTGCCTTGCTGCCGCTCGCTGCGCTGCTCGAAGTCGCTCGTAAACTGGACTGTAAATTAGGATTTGGTTAAACACGCTGACTGGGGCAGCGCAGCAACGCCATGGCAACGCCATGTGGACCAATCACAGCCAATGCAATGCTCTCTGTCGAAAAGCCCGTGGGAGAGAGAGAGAGACAGAGAGAGGGGGAGTTGCAGGAAGTTGAACCTTAAGCCCGGTGTGCTGCGCCATTTCGAGCCGCGTGTAATCTGGATATTTACGGCTCGCGTAATCTTTGTCGTAAATCCGAGTTTTGTTCTTGGAGACGCGCGGAGCGGCAGAGACCAGCAGCGCAGGCCACCTGACTCCGAACAAGTGCTGTCTCTCTCGCACTCTCGGGCCGTCCGGGCCGTCCCACCCGGATAGCGGCGACAGAGAGAGACTGTTCGGAACCAACCCACAAAGACGCACGGGAGTAGTCGCGCCAATCCGGCCGCTTTAGCCGTTCGTTTACGAAGCGTGTGAATTAGGATTTATTGGCACTTGTTATGGCGGGGCGCCCCAGCCCAATAAACAATGTGCAGCCGGACGGGACGGGACAGGTGGACGGCCTGGCCGCCTGACGGCCCGACGGTGTGGCGACTTTGTGTGTACCTCGTCAAAAGTGGGTGCCGCTCTGGCACCGCACCGCCCGCTCGGTTGTTGTTGTTGTTGTTGTTATTGGTGGAAAATAACGCTATTTGCTCTTAGCTTGTTGTTGTTGTTGTTGTTGTTGTTGTTGTCGCTGGTGGAGAACTCTAAGACGTGGAAAATAATGATATTTGTTCTTAGCTTCTTCATGTTGTTGTTGCGGGTACAGGTTTCTAAGGCACCGCGTAAGGCACGGAAAATAACACTATTTGCTCTTCGATTGGTGTTGTTGCTGGTGCTGTTGATGTTGTTCGGTGCATCGCCGGCCTGGACCGTGGCCTGCGTCTCGAGTCCTACGCGTGATAAGGATCAGTGGCCGGCCGGCAGCACCCCCCCCCCCTCCCCTCGCCCTTGCTTCTAGTTGGGGACGCGTACGGCCGACGTGGCTCGCCGGCTGGGCTGCGGGGCACGGCGGGGCACGGCGGGGCATGACGCACATTTAGTATCGGTGCAGGACATGTTGCCCGCAAGCACCGCGGAGCCATGGTGGAGCCCAAGGTGAGCCGAAACCCGTTTGAACGCAACTTTTGCACGCGGCGGCAGCGCGGCGGTGAGGGGTGGCGGGGCGGCGCGGCGTGGGGCGGAGCCCCTGCCGCCTCCTCCCTCCCCACGCGCCCTTCGCCGTCCCCGTCGTGGAGACCCCCTGGGTGCTCCGCGGTGCTCCGAGACGACGGACGAGTTCGCGGTGCTGGTCAAGCGAGGCGAGCCGAGAGCCACTGGCGGGGCAGCGAGTCCGAACGCATTGCTGCAGCCTGCAGCGATGGCATGGCCTGAGCGCCCGGCAGGCAGGCAACCGACCGGCTGTGCAGCGCGCCCGAGTGCACCGGGCTTGCCTACCTCGCCGGCGTTCCGCCCGGCCGCTCAGAAACCGCCGAAGGTTTTCGTTTTCATCAGGCGGTTCCTGCTGCAGAGAGACTCATGGAGAGACTCACAGAGAGACTCACAGAGAGACTCACAGAGAGACTCACGGAGAGACTCACAGAGAGACTCACAGAGTCACCGCGAGACTCTCCGAGAGCCTCACCGAGACCGGTCCGCTCCGGGTCCCGGCGTTGCCAACTTCACGCAGGGAGCGTAACGTGTTTTCTTGTTTGTTTCTGTGCACTTCCAAGCAGCGTCGGCTGGCGGCAGGGCCAGCAGGGCCAGCAGGGCCAGCAGGGCCAACCGGGAGCCGGGCCCGGGCTTTCTATTACGATCCCGGCGTAAAAGGGCTCTGCTCGGCTCTGCTCCAGGTTCCAGGAGGTTCCAGGAATTGGGCAGCGTGGCTGCGTGCTCCGCATTCATAATTCATTTTGTTTCCGAGGGAGTTTCGAATCAAACGAGGAAGGACGGACGGGCCCAAGCCGTCATGAAAAAGGTGTGATGCTTGACCCTTCGGCCCTGCCGTCACCGCTGCAGCAGCGAGTGTTGTTTTTCCGACCCTCGCACAACTCGAGAGACTTTCCTCCTTTTTCTTTTTTCTCCCTCGCCATTTCCTCTCCTTATGTGCGTCGTTATTTTAAGCGTGCGGTAGGAGGGAAGCCTCCCGGGAAAGGGAGGCGGGCGAGGCGAGGCGAGGCGGAGAGTGGAGGTCGGCAACTTGAACGAGCAACCAGCGACTCCAGCGACGGGGTCGGAACGTCGGAACGGAACGCACAGCGCCCGCCGCGCGGCTGCTGGCTGTCTGTCGGCCTGCTCGCCGTCCGCTCGCCCGCCGGAGCGACCGCCAGGGCACCGCCAGGGCACCGCGGCTCGGAGGACTGACTGGGAGGACATGGCGGGAGAATCGCGCATTGAGGCCACGTTTGGAAGGCGGGAGGTGGCGGGACTTCGTGTGGACGGGCAGTATAAACCAATTTGGTTACCCCTTTTAGCCTTTTAGCCGCCGTCTGGCGGCCTGGTGGTCTGGTGGTCTGGCAGTGAGGTAGCCGCGGCGGGGTGGCCCGGCCGGCCATGCAGGCCCAGTGGCTAATGGTAAAGGCGGCCCCATGCTGCAGTGCCCTCACAGTGTTATGCAGATGAGGACGAGGGGTGCCTTGTGGGAGCCTGGGAGTCCAGACCGTCCGTTCGGCACCGCCCCGGACTCCAGGGCCTCCAGCTCGGCCTCCAGGCCTCCAGGGCAGGGCTTCCATTCCATTGTCGTCCTGCCAACAGGAGCACTCAGTGAGGCCCGGCTGGTCGACCGTTGCGCCCCGCCCTGCCGGCCCTGCCCGTTCACGGCCTCGTCTTTTTAGAAAGGGCCAAAAATAAAAGCCGTTTTGGGGAAAACGAACGAGCCAGGCTTTTATTGTTCCTTGTTCCTTCAGCCTTGGAAGGCACTTAAGAGAAAGAAGCGGCTGACTGATGGGAATTCAATTGTATCGAGCGAGCTCTCAATATTACCCACAATCTGTTGAAACATGAGTGAAAATGCGTCACAACTTTCCTCGGAGTGGTTTTTGATGTCCGGCGTTTGCTTCTGTGTTGCAGGTACATCCACTCCAAGGAGAAGCCCTTCAAGTGCGGCGAGTGCGGCAAGGGCTTCTGCCAGTCGCGCACCCTGGCCGTGCACAAGATCCTCCACCTGGAGGAGTCGCCCCACAAGTGCCCGGTGTGCAGCCGCTCCTTCAACCAGCGCTCCAACCTCAAGACCCACCTGTTGACGCACACGGACCACAAGCCGTACGAGTGCGGGTCCTGCGGCAAGGTGTTCCGCCGGAACTGCGACCTGCGCCGCCACGCCCTCACACACGCCGTGGGCGCCGACGTGCCGCCGGAGGCCGACGACGACGCGGCCCGGCCGGACGACGCCCAGGATGACGACGACGAGGACGAGCCCGAGGACATCCACGTGGACACGGACTCCGAGGAAGACGTGGACCCGAGACTGTCGCCACGGCCGCGCCACTCCGGACACGCCATGGAGCACGCGAGCCGCGAAGGGTCGCCGCTGCGCTCCCGATCCCCCTCACCCTCGCCGTCATCGTCCACGTCGCCGGCGACGTCCAACCTGACGCGCTGCCACGAGACGGGGGCGTCGTCGTACACGATGCGGCCCGACAAGGCGGACCGGCTGGAGCGGCCCGACCGGCTCGACGCCCCCGCCGCCTCCACGTCGACGTCCGCGTCCACGTCCACCCCCGGCGCCGCCGTCGGCCCCCGGCTGCAGGTGCGCTCGGACCTGGAGGCGCCCAGCGGCCTGCCGAGCGGCCTGCCCAGCGGCTTCGGCATCTTCCGGCGCCGCGTCCCGGACCCCACGGACCCGTTCGGCAGGCCGAGCCCCTTCTTCAACCGGCGCCCGCTCACGCCCAACTCGCCCTTCGCCTTCTCCAGGACGGGCGGCATCGTGGCCGCCGCCGCCTCCTCGGCGCTCTCCGGCCCCGGCGCTGGCGCTGGGTCCCGGGATCTGCTCCGGGCCAACCCGCTCCGGGACCCCCCGAGGGACAAGGACATGCCGGGGCCGTCGGGTTTGTCGGCGGCCGCCAAGAAGGCCGACGCCCCCGCTGTGGACGACAGCTCCAATCCCCTGCCCCCCGTGGGGCCCCCGTCGGCGTCGGTCGTGGTTCCCAGTGCGCTGCGGCCGGCCGACGCCCCCGCGCCGCCCGGACTGCCCCCGGGCCCACCCCCCGGGCTGCCACCCGCCCCGCCCCCCGTCGCAGCGCCCCCCGTGATGCCCCCTCAAGCGCCGCCCCCAGCCCCCAAGAAGCAGGGCTTTAGTATAGAGGAGATCATGAGACGCTAATCCGCTAGCCCTGTGTTCTGTGTTGTGTTGTCTAGTGCCGTAGAGGTCTGTCTGTTGAGCGTCCTGTTAAGGGTAGTCGTAAGTGATATGATTTTTAGACCAAGTGATTAATGTTGGCGCCGCTCATAGCGCGTGCAGTCATTTATGTGAATCGAGGCCAAACTACTTTTGTTAGTTGGGGGGTGCCGTGCTGGCCAACATGGCCAGAACGACCTTGCCCCTTGCTTGTGTTCCTGTAGGGTGATTCCAGTTCGTTCGGGAGCGTCGGCTCCGGCCGGCTCCGGCCTACTTAGTGTAGACTCAGTAAGACTTTTCAAACTGCACAATCGAGTAGGCGTGTTTTGGTGCCATCAACTCCGCTTCTATCTGAGGACACGAAGCGTTTTTGTTTCAATTGTTTTACCATTCGGAGAACGTTCCCGCAAGCGATTTGTTAGATAGATATGATCTTAAAAATAAGAATATATATAAATATATATGTTTTGTTTTTTGTAATCTCAAGTGATATTACATGTACATTGTTCAGATAAAATACTTTTGAATTTGTTTAGAGACTTTTAACTTGAAGTTGAGCGTTTGTATATAATGTTAAAGACTTTTGTTACTATAGAAATTTATTGTGTATATGTTTTAGAGTGATCTCAGAAAATGGGAACACACAGGAAGCTCTCTTTTGTGATACCTTCATAGCTATGGTAGCTCGTCCTCTCTGTTCCCATCTTAAATGATCTGCAGTCGGGGAGGGTGGGGAAAGGAGGGAGGCATGTCAAGTTTTCATGTTGAAAACTTGTGAAATTAAAATTTTATTTTGTTGAAGCCGATTCTCTGTATTCTTTCTCTTACATCCACTGTGTTATTTTCTTGAAAATTAGCTTCTCAAAAAATGTTTTCGCGTCGTTTTTGAAAATGTGATTTATTTGATAAATAGACATGCCGTTTGTACATATTGTGGTACATAATTGAAATAGCGAATTGTGAGTGATAAGCTGAAGTTTTCTTTTCAAAAGAAGGTTTTTCAGAACTATGTGTCCTTTATTTATGTCCTTCAATATATACGTTTGCCATATGTAGCGTTACAACACTAGCCTGGAACTTATTTATAATTTAATTACTTGCAGGCTTCAGTAAAAGACTGTGAATCATTAGAACCTGTTCGTCCTGTCAGTGTCAAACGGACTTAGTTCTGTGCAGTTCTGTTAAAGCCGTGTGCCTGTCTCTGAGGCTTGACTGATTTATGCCTCGATTGTTGTTTGAGTATGGTGGGTGATGATTGTTGCTGAAAACTTTCCCCAAGAAACACAAAATAAATACAATCTAAAATGACTTTGAGTTTCTTTGACTGCTCTCCCCCTGCACCTGCAGACTCCACATGGGGCCAGAAACGAAAGGCACTCCGCTCCAAATACGAGATGTAATTCCCCGCGTGAGGTGCGCCCAAAGCAACCAGGGAGCCGATCCGGCCGCCGCATCGGCCTCGGCGATCTCACAGCCAAATAAACAAGTAATGAACGAAACGGAACACATTTTCCCCCGCTTCCCATTGAAGTAAACAAGTGATTTACGGCTGGAGTGGAATCGATGCTGTCAGATGCAGCGAGTGAGAAAGAAGACCGGCACGCAGTGGCACGCAGTGTAGTAGTGGCCGGCCGAGGGGCCGAAGGGAAGGCCGAACCTAGCCGTCAGTAGCCAGGGCGGCCAGAGCCGCTGGAGGGACTGGAGCCACCACAGCAGCGAGCAGCACCCAGCCGAGGCCGCGTCCGGAGAGCGAACCGACGGGCCGACGGGCCGACGGCGCAGTCCGCACGCAGCCCCACCTCGCTGCGTGCGCTGCACGAGGCGCTGCAGGTGGGGGCGTCTGGGGCGTCAAGGGCTCGGCGACCCGGACCGCCACCACCGCCTCCCTCGGTACCTCGGTACCGTGGTACGTGTATGACTCACCGATCGGGCACTATCATTACCGTCATGATGCGCGGCGCGTCGCGGCGCGTAGCGCGTACACTGTACACCCAGCGCTCGGGGCACAGGGAGTGCACGGCGTGCACGGCGTGCTCGGAGTACGCCGCGAGCCCTGCCCTGCAGCCTGCAGCGACCGCAGCGGAAGGAGCCACGCCTCCACTGCCTCCAGCAGGCTCATTCAGAGAGTCGCTCTGTCTCGCTCACACTCGTGGGGCCTCCCGTATGAGTGCGAGAGAGACAGCGACGAAAGCGGCTCTTGGCATCAGCAGCACCGCGCTGCCATCGTCACCGCCAGGACGACGTCGCACAGTGAACCAGCAGCAGGCCAGTCAGCGGGCAACTCCCGTTTGAGCTTGCGTCCTCAATGATTCGTACCAAACACATCTTAGTGTTCCTTAATTGTCCTTTGAACGCGGAACCCACCGTCGCTCATCACTATCGCGTTTGGTTTTGGTTTGGACCCCATTTGAGGATGAGTCTTTGAAAAGTGTGCAGAGAACGGCCAACTGGACGGGTCTTTCTGGACCACTCTGCACCAGACCAGGTGAGTCCTCCCGCTGCGGTGCTCTGATTCTGAACAGCGCTCCGTCTTTCTTTCTGTCTCTCTCGCACCCCTGGTACGCTCAGTGAGTGCGAGAGAGAAAGGGCGACGATAGGCAGAGCACTGTTCGGAGGCTGCGGGCCGGCTCTCGAGGAGGCGCACGTCGAACTGGATGGACCTCTTTAGTCCTTACAAATCCAAATCCCCAATCAGGAGGAATGGAGGGCAGGGCCGCTGGGACGCGGGAGAGAGGGGGAGAGCGAGAGAGAGAGGGAGAGAGGGAGGGAGAGAGAGAGAGAGAGGAAGGGAGAGAGAGAAAGAGAGGAAGGGAGAGAGGGAGGGAGAGAAAGAGAGCGAGGGAGACGGCGAGACGCGGCCCTCTCTCTTTCCCAACGCGTTCCAGGGGGCGCCTGCTCGATTAATTGTGAACAGCGGCTGCCCTGCTGGACCGGGCGAGGCTTGGGAACTTCCATTAGCGCTCCTGCAGCCTGCAGGCCGAGTCCGGACAGCGCATACGTCGCTGCGTCTCTGTCGCACCCGGAAGGGACGGAAGGGACGCCCCACGAGAGTGAGATAGACCGAACGACGGAGCGCTCTTCGGCTTCAGACGGAATCACAGGGCGCCGGCGAAGGCGAAGGCGAAGGCAGGGGTGAACGGGTTCCTTCCCTTAGGTCAGCGGTTCTCAACCTTTCTCGGCTCGCGACCCCAAATTTGTAGCCAAAAATTCCGCGACCCCCAGGAAAAGTTTCGCGACCCCACGGGACCTCCCTTAGCATGCCACTGCGTCTGATCCGAGGCGGGCATTTTGCTCCCTCAACGGGCAATTGGTCTTTGGACTTTCCTTTAGCATGCCTCTGTTACGGAGTGCGATTATCAGTCTTAGTTTGGGGGCAGTATTGTCTCAAAGTTGGCCAAAACGCTCAGAAATGTCTTTGAAAAATCATGTTTTGGGTCGATTTTAAGCAGCCACTGCGTCTGATCCGAGCCGGGCATTTTGCTCCCTCAACGGGCAATTGTTCTTTGGATCTTCCTTTAGCATGCCTCTGTTACGGAATGCGATTATCAGTCTTAGTTTGGGAGCAGTATTGTCTCAAAGTTGACCAAAACAGTCACAACGGTTTTCAAAGACATTTCTGAGCGTTTCGGCCAACTTTGAGACAATACTGCTCCCAAACTAAGACTGATAATCACACTCCGTAACAAAGCCATGCTAAAGGAAGGTCCAAAGACCAATTGCCCGTTGAAGGAGGACGAAATACCGCCTCGGGTCAGACGCAGTGGCTGCTTAAAATCAGCCCAAAACACGATTTTTCAAAGACATTTCTGACCGTTTTGGTAAACTTTGAGACAATACTGCTCCCAAACTTAGACTGATAATCACACTCCGTAACAAAGGCATGCTAAAGGAAGGTTCAAAGACCAATTGCCCGTTGAGGGAGCAAAATGCCCGCCTCGGATCAGACGCAGTGGCTGCTTAAAATCGGCCCAAAACACGACCCCAGCTACCTCGCCGCGACCCCTTAAAATTTTTTCGCGACCCCACTTGGGGTCGCGACCCTAAGGTTGAGAACCACTGCCTTAGGTGTCTTCGAGCTGCTCAGGGAAACCGCCGCCTCGCTGGACTGGCCCGCTATCGCATGTACCGAACGCCTGATGAGTGCAGGTAGGCAACCCAACTGACACGTCGGTCGCGCAGGCAGTGTTTTTCTTAGCACGTTCTAGCTAAGAGTAGGTTTGCTCACCTCGTCGGTATGAGTGACGTGTTTTCAATGAAAGAACAAGAGGTAGGCCTTCTCGGGCTCGGGCCTACCTCTGTAGCTCCAAGAAAAAACCAGGAGGAACTATAACACAACTGTTGTGAATTATTTACAAGGAAAAATGCAGAATTTTTGGCTTGGTGTGACTTGCATTAAGTAACTCCTTTAATCATACCTATAAGGGAACCAGTCGCGTCGCCGCTTCATCACTCTCATGAATAAATTTGCAATCTTCTTTCTGGACAGGGCAGTTGAGTATTGAGCAGGCATCAGGTGGGTACCACAGCCCTAAAAAAAAGTGGTCAGGGAAAGAAAAGGTAGTAAGTTTAATGAAGCATTTATTTTGTCTGAATTAATTTTGGCACAAAGTGCATATCACACTCATAACACAGGGATGACATAACACAGGGAAGACAAACATCATTTGAGATTTGCCCATAAGTTGTATATCATCATGTCATCCATCCATCTTTTCTCGTCTTTTTAATGACTGCTCCCCTGGATGCCAAAGTAAGACCAGCCTCTAACATCACAGCATTAGGACGTTTAGTTCTTATGCCTCTTATTAGAAAGCAGAATCAAATTATAAATTATTAAAAGTAAAACTTCTTAAATAACTAGCTCATGAACAAATCAATGAATAAATAATGCTTAAGTAAGTTTTACAAATTTTTCAGTGCAGTTAAGCTAAAATGTAAAGTACACGACAGTAATTAGACACAACACAAATGATGCTAAAAAAATTACAATATGGTCCTTTCAAAGGAAGAGGCACCGATTCGTGCTTATAGTTAGGATTGGTGGTATTGCTATGGTATTAGTTGTCGAACATAACACATTCAAATGGTGATTTTGCCATCCTAAGTAATTTTGATTTAAGTGAAACATTCTTTATAAGGGGATTCTGTATTGTTATTCAATAACTACTACAAAGGTAGGACAAAATAGTTATACTTAATACAGTTAAAAAGAACAGTGATTCATAATTTTTTTAGATAATTTTTAGGAGTAATTAGAAGAAAATAATTTTTCTTAAATGAAAAAATTTGAAGTACATGAAAAGAGCCAGTTCCACAACAAACCATCTATGTAATGTAGTTTAATAAAAAAAGTCAATTATGCATTCTAGTCATGTACAATTCAAATCCGCAGGAGTAGAAACGATATAGAGAGGTTTTGAAAAATACATATACGAGCATAATTCACATGTTTAGGAAATTTGATTGGGTTTAGAATATGGAAGAAGTCTATGTCATTTCTTTAAAGATAATCTCCAGTGCATCACATCAAGTCCATCACAATAAGTCTCGTTTCAGACATTGTATTGCAAACTACACAGTATTGTGAGGATTAGCATACAAAATTGGTTTTATGAATTCCCTAGCAAGTTCTACATCAAATGCACTAAAAATTATGTCACAGCGCATTGCACAGTTGAGGTGAGTTGCAAGTCACATCATTCACGTCTGCAAATGAAAACACAGGCGAGATTACTAAAACACATCACATGCAACATCAGATGTACGAGTTAGACCGAAAAAAAATTACATTCAGAAGCGATTTAGTATTGAAAAGGTTGTCCAAAAGAAACCATGCCGAATACTGGTAATTTTAAGGGACATTGCATGACAGTACAGCATTACACCTTTTGGGACTTTGAAGACAGGAAGCTTTTATGGTGGAAGTGGACAGGACTAAAGATTCGGTTTGTGGTCTGCAAAAATGGTTAAAGTGGCTATTTATGGAGAAAAGGTCAAAGTTTGGAAGAAAAAAGGGGGTTGAAGGCCGTAGGTAGATAGACTTTTACCTGCACATGGTTGCATCCAACTGCTGAAGCCATGGAAGAGTAAGCATGACTTTGCGGCGATATGCTCCATCCTTGGACAAGGGATTACGCTCCAGATAGACAGTTACAAGTTGCTTGTTGGCAGTCAGTTTTTCCACACAGGCCCAATCCGTTATTTCATTATCATTCATCTGAAACACAGAAGTTAACTTGTAGCCCATTTTATAAAAGTTTTAACTACTAAGACAAAGTACAAAGTTTCCTTACCCAAAACTCTTCTAGTTTGGTGAGGTGATCTACATTTTTTATCTGAGAAATTTTGTTTAGGGAAAGGTCCAAGGTGGTGAGTTCTGTGTTGTTTTCAAGTCCTTCTATCTCTTTTAATCCATTTTCTGAGACATACAATTGCTCCAGCTTAGTAAGTTTCTCAAGGTTCTCCAATTTTGTAATTCGGTTACTCTGAAATAAAGGAGTGCAGGTGAAAACCCAACAAAAGTAAACCAGATAAATGGATTAAAATACAGGTGTCACAGGTGGGAAGCTCAAAATGTTAACCTTAAAAGCCTACCTGAAGACTGAAGACTTCCAACTGAGGAAGACATTCCAGGTTCTGAATTTTAGTTATCTTGTTTTTACCAAGGAAGAGGCTGGTCAGGTTTGTGAGGCCTTCTAGGTTCTCAATGGTCTGTATTGGGTAAGCACAAAACAGTGAAGGCATCAGAACAAAGATGATAAGTTAATGTTAATTTTCATGTTTGGTGTTAGTATTGAAATCAACCCACAGGCAATGAGATAATTTTGGTATACAAAATAAACTTACTCTTAATTTATTGTCCCCAAGCTCTAAATACTGGAGTTTTTTCAAGTGGTTTATGTTTTCAATTTTTTGTATTTTGTTGTCGCATAAGAAAAGTTTTTCCAAGTTTGTAAGATTTTCAAGACCACCGATGTGAGTGATCCTATTGAATGACAGATCCAAAACCCTGAAACACAATCAAAATCTATCATTAAAAACTGAAACAAACAAAAAGAAGAGAACTCAGCGAGTAATCCAGTGTCAGGGACATGACACTAGAACTGTACATACTCAAGATTCACAAGGCAGTCAAGGTTTTCAATAACAGTTATCTGATTATCATAAAGTTCCAGTTCTCTTAGAGTGGTAAGTGTTGAGACATTCTCAATTTTCTTCAAAAGATTCCATCGAAGATAGAGCCTCTCAATACACTTCAGGTTTTCCAAGTTCTTGATGGTTTTCAAGCGCCGATGATTGAAATCCAGTTCCTAAAATTCCACAGAGAGTGTCATACAATATGCAAGGGTGTTAAAAATAGGTAAGCGGGACCTAATTTTATACCTACCAAACAATTAACATCCTCAACATCCTCTGCAGTTATTTCGTCTCCAACAACAGGTTCAGCATCTATGGAAGAACAAACTATGTCAGTAAAATCAACCCAGCAGTCGTGCACCATTGAAACTGTTAGTATTAGTAGAAGACTCACCAGTTTCTGGTTCATCAACAGAAGGAGTTGCATCAACACTGACAGATTTCCTCACTTTGTCTGGACCATCGGGAACTGTGGTAACATCTGAACTACCTGAAAAACACAAACACACACACATGTACCATCAATAAATGGCATAAAAATTGTAAGATTTTTCACAGTTGAATAACTAAAACCAGACAAACAAGACGCAAAAATCAAAAATCACGACGGATTAAATGTGGATATGTTAGGTTAAGCTAAGACGAAGATATTATGTTCCAGTACCGTTTTCTGCCATAGTTCACGAAGGAGAAAAATAAATATTCAAATGTAAATAGGTCACAGAATATTTCAGAGAATCTACAAAGTGTTGTGAGAGGAATTCACAAACGATGCCTATCACGACAGCAGTGTTTTGAAAGCGAAGCCGTGCGGAGCAGACAATACAGGTTGGCCACCACAATAATATGGAAGTATTCAAAAGTTTAAAACCTTTTTGTCTGTTATGGGGACAAATATTAGACCTTTGTGAAAAGAAATATGCATTTTAATCACTAGTTAAAGAAGTGTTTTATCCATTTTCAGCCCCCAAACACATAAATTTACCACTAGCAAAGAATGATTTCAAGACTAGTCGTTGGTGGTGCTGGTTCCAAAGGTTTCGAATCGAAAGTGCATGACAACACCAGCTCTCAAAGTGAGAGCATTTTCTCCGTAATTTCGTGCGAATATCTCGTAAATCCTTGTAGGTAAGTACGAATTTTAAGTAAAATAGGTTTAGTTTTGAAATATCTTCTATTTCTGAACTGTCATGCCTAATATTACTAGGATACATTAGTTTGTGACGTCTGAAGGTTATGTTTTGATGCAATGTTTTACTTACATTTCATTCATTGGATTTGTGTTAATAACCAGTATGGAATGTCTTGGCCATATTCATATTAAACTGTTTGGATTGATATTGCTGTTTTTGTTGAAGAAACTCGTGTCGCCATCTTTATTTTCATTCCTTAGATTACTATGATCCAATGAGCAGCTTCTCGGACTTGCTGACAGCTCATACCAAAGAAACCATGTTTAGTGCAGCTTCAACCAGGCGGTTGACTGTAGTCAGTAGGATTCTCAACACTCCAAAACCTTATTTAAAGCGAACATCTTCAGGGCTGGAGACTGTACGATTGTCATCAAGTAAGGACAAAAGGACTCAGAAAAGTTGTGATCTTATCATTTATGTTTTCTCTCGATATACGTATTAATTAATGTCCCTTTTCTTTCTAGCCAAAACTCAAGTCACTATAGGAGATGTTTCAAAAGATGTGTCAGAGCCTAAATATCCTGAATACGTTCCCATAAAATATTGTAAGTATTTGACATTGCTCTACTTCCCTTCCTTTCAAGTTAATGGAGTAAGAAGGTTATTTCATTTTCCTTATCATTATCAGTGAAAGCCAAGCAGAGCCAACAAACACTTCGCCACTTAAGATGGATGCTACAGAAAGACTTGTTGGGCCAAGATATGTTTTTGATGGGACGCCCTGGACCAGCTCGGCGAAGATTAGCCATGCAGTTTTTGCAAGTAACGGGGCGAGAACTGGAATTCGTTGCCTTGTCTAGAGACACAACAGAGGCAGATCTGAAGCAACGTCGTGAAATCCAAGGAGGCAGTTCTAAATACCTTGATCAAGTAAGTTGACAATCCACCTGTGTTAGTTTGAAGTGAAGTTTTACTTAAATTGATTTTGTGGACTTGTTTGTCTTTAGAGTGCTGTGCGGGCTGCAGTGCAAGGGAGAGTACTAATCCTTGAAGGAGTGGAAAAGGCTGAAAGGAATGTTCTCCCTGTCCTGAACAACTTACTTGAAAACCGAGAAATGCACTTGGAAGATGGGCGTTTCCTTATACCTGCTAAACGATATGACAAATTATTGCAGGTGTGTTTCGCATAATTGAAGCCTAGCACATTAAATTTTTATTAAATTGTCATTTTCATGGAAATATTCTTTCAGGAGCACAGTCAAGAAGAATTGGACCGATGGCAGCTGGTCCGAGTTAGTGATGACTTTAGAGTTATAGCACTGGGCCTCCCTGTCCCAAAATACCAAGGCAATCCTCTTGACCCTCCCCTCCGGTCTCGTTTCCAAGCTCGCTTCATTGACACAGACTCCTACAAGGTAAGCAACTCACTGATTTTATTAAGTTCAGTTTCAGTTACAAATTACAATTTCATATCACTTTCTGTCCCATGAGTGGCAGCTAAGCACGTGAATTTCTCAAGTCTCGACCCTTTTTATCATGGGTCCTGGCACAGGATAAATGTTCATTCAATAGCACTTGTCACCTCGAAACAACAAGGAAAAGTTCGCTGCAGTGTAGGAGGCGAGCTTCGGCACTGGCCCGGTCCTTCCCTCAGGCGTCGCTGATGCCGCTCTCGCAGTCTGACACTTCCTGCAGCTCGGCCAGCTCGGCCGCGGTGGGGGTCGTGCCCCCGGGGGTCGTGCCCCCGGCCGTGCCGCCCTTGTCGGACACGGCGGGCACGAAGATGTGCAGCTGCGGCCGCGACTGGCTGGCCAGGGCACCGTGGTGCCAGGTCCGGTGCGTGCTGGCCACGTGCTGGAAGGTCTGGATCAGTGGGGGTGGCGGCGGCGGCGGCGGTGGCGGCGATGTCCTGGGCTCGGCGGGCCGCGGCGGCGCGTTAGCTGGCGGCAGGTTGGCGTCCACGCTGATGCTGCGCCGCGCGGCTGTCAGAGGCAGGCGCCGCTCCGGCCCCGGCGCGGACACCTCAGATGACGCCACGGGGTAGAACCTCCGGGCGCGTGGCGCCGCGACGGCGCTCTGGTGGCGTCGCGATGCCCCGGCCGTGGACACGTTGCGTGTGGACCGCAGCGACGCCTTGGTGACCACGCCGCCGCCGTCGGTCGCCTTTCCCGCGAGGTCCAGCCACTGCAGCACGCGCTCCGACAGCGGGTTGAGGTCGTGGAGGTCGTGTACGTCGGCACCACCGTCGCCGTTAACCTGCCTGCGGTTCGCCTGCTGCGAATCGCTGCCGCCGTCCGGGGCGTCGTCGTCTTCCGCGGCGTGTTCCTGGAGCCGCGGTTCCAGCGTGGCGGCGACGCACATGTGCTGGAATGTGGACGAGTAGCTGCCGATGAGTGGCGGTGCTCGCGTGGGAGCGGCAGCGCCGGCAGCGCGCAGGCCGGTCCGCACCTCGTCGTTGTCCTCGCCCTCCTCCTCGGCGTCGGCGTCCGCGCCCTCGTCTTCATCGCCCAGCACCCCCGCGGTCGCCTCGCCGCCGCCCTGGCCGACGACCAACTTCCAGCGCACCAGGCACCGCGCCAGGTCATGCTCGTCGTGCGCCGGCGGCGGCCTCGGCGGCGTGGCGTCGCGGTCCGACTCGTCCGAGGCCGTGGACGTCGCGGACGTGCTGCTCGGGCTGCTGGGCCGCGCGCCGCCCTCCGCGCTGCGCCCCGACGCGGCCCTCCCCGGGAATGCCAGCGAGGGCGTGAGGATGGCATGGCGCAGCCCGTTGACCCAGACGGTGCGCACCACGAGCGGCCTGCTGGACGACTCCCAGCGCGACGTGGACGACGACGTCATGGCCCTTCGTCGCCATCGGCGTGGCCTCGCAGGGCCTGGCCTCGCAGGGCCGCGCCGCTACGCGCGCCCTGCCGGCCGGTGCGCTCGGCGCTGTGCCTGCCCTCAGCGTGTAGCCAGGTCCTGTTCGCGACTGGGGCCTGCCCGAGGCCCGGGGCCCGCGCCCCGCCTGGGGCTGGCGCCGCCTTCCCGTGCAGCGTCGCGACGCCGGCCTGCCTGGGCCCCGCGTGGGGCATGGGGGCCGCGTGTCACACGGGGAGGGGCTGCGCCGGGCTGCGCTCGCTGTGCCGTCTCCCTCCCCGACTGGGGGCCTCGGGGGCGCGGGGGCGGCGGGGCCTTGATGGCGATGTGTCACGCCCGCCTTGCCGCCGCGCTGCGTCCTGGAGGAGTCCTGGAGGAGTCCGCGCACACCGTGTGGAGCAGCACCGCTGGAGTGGCGTCGACGGGGTCACTTCAAACCACGGTGGTCTGGCTTGCTCGATTTCACATTTCATCCGAGTACGCTCTTCCACTTTTACAACCGACATTAGAATCACAAGCGTTGCAGCGCCGTCCTCAAAACTGTCGTCAAGTTTTTATGCGCTCGCTTCGCTACACTGTTATTGCGACTGGCGGGGACTGTGCCCCAGCCCCCGCCGTGTCGAGTGGGACCGCCAGCAGGGGGTGGAGCGGGGCGCAGTCCGTACTTCTTGGAGGAGGTCGCGCCCCTGCCTGCGGTGGGGCATGCCCCGCGGGTTTGACGGTGAGGTGTCATCGCCGCCGTCCCCCGTGACGGCCTGGCCTGGCGGCCCGAAGGGGTGAGGGAGGCGGCGGCTCACTCAACAGGACGCGCGCCGTGATGAGCGCTCCCCCGGGTCGGGCCAGAAGACTGACTCCGAGAGTCGTTTTCGTCGCTCTGTCTCTCAAGCACCTATACGGGACGCCCCACGAGTGCGAGAGAAACAGAACGACGAAAACGACTCTCGGAGTGAGCCTGCAGGGCACCCCCGCGCGTGCGTGCGTGCGCGGCGACGGGCGGCGACAGGCGGGCTGCATTCCGTCATTCCGTTGACCTGCTTCTGCTGACGGCCGCCGGCGTCGCACGACGCATCCCCTCGCGCATCCCCCGCCACCGCGGCCACCGCGCCGTTTCGCCGCCGAAAAGAAACTCCGCCCCTCTTTTTGGGGCCTTTTTGTGCGAGGCCGCGCGGCTCCTCCGGTTTGCAGCGGGGACGGGGGACTTTGCGCCGCGGCTTGTGTTGTACACAGGACACAACAAGTTGTCGTGCGGCTGGCTTGGCCGCGCGGGCTGGCGCGAGCTGGCCCGGGGGTGAGCGTGCACGCCGAACGGGCTGCGCTAAACGCTCCGCACACTTTGAATATTAAACTTTGCGGCGGGGCGGGGCGGGCGGGCGCACTGTTGAGTGTCGGGACACGCCACCGCCGCCACCGCGCCACCGCGACGCAGTGCCTGGTGCACTAGGTCAGCTTCGCGCGGCCCTGGCCTAACCTAAGCCCTGCCCAGCCAAGCCGGGTGTGCTGCCAAATTAGTTTCCCCCGCGGGCAAGAGAGCGTTACGTCGCGAGGCAGCGCGAGGCGCGGCGCCGGCGGTTGGTTCCGCCATTCCGGGGAGTTGCAATCCAACTACGGCAGAAGTCGCGGACCGAGTCGCCAACTGCTGGCGGCTGACTGCTGCAAACGCCGCTGTGACATGAAGGGCTGGCCGATGGCTGCTGCTCGGTGCCGCGGCCGCCTGCCGCCTGGACTAGCCTGGCCCCGGCCTGGAGCGGCCGCCAAATTTTCTGTTGCCAGTTCGCGTTAATGAATCCCTGCCTGCCGCTGCTTTGCTCGGTGGCGCCCCAGGCGCTCCAAGGTCGCGGCGTCGCGGCCGTCAGCATACTGATTCCGAAGAGTAGCTCTGTGTCCGTCGCGCTCATCGGCCGTCCCGCGAGGGGTGCGAGTGAGGCAGAGCGGCCAAACGGTTTTTCCGGAATCGCTCCACAGGGCGTTCGCTCGGCGTTCGCGGGGATGAATGGATCTCATTAAGCTGCGCTTGTCACGCTTGCGTCACGGCCTCGTCACGGCCTTGTCACGAGCACGTCACGCGACCCGATTTGTCTACTTCAGCGTTCCGTTATTATTCCAAAGGCGACAATGGCGACGAAGGCCCGCTGAATTTGCGCCCGCTAATAATAACAACGCGATCTTCAGTGGGGAAAAATAGTTATTGTGAAATGTCAAACGGAAAGAAAGAGGTGACAAAGCGCCGTTTGAAAATAAGGCGGATCATGTGCGGACCAAAACGAAAAGTCCGGTCTTGGTTTTAATTAAATTTTCGTTTAAACGCCTTTTATCCTCCTGCATCGGTCCTTGTGTGAGGTGTGTATGTGTGGGTGCGAGTGGGTGTGTTTTCCCTGTGTGTGTTGCCGGGGTTATGACCCCATATACCGTGGGCCCGGGAAGGGGTAGGGCCGGTGGGGCGTGCCGAGTGCGGAGACGCGATGCTCGTGCCGTCTGCCTCGGTCTGCCTGACCCAGATGTCAGAAGTGTCGAATCGGAAACAGTCCCAGCTAGCCTATCCTGCCTATCCCACCTCGACTGCCAGCGCCAGCGCCGCCAGCCTACCTCACGTGTCTCGGCACCGACGCGACACCCCCCCCCCCCCCCCCCCCCCCCGCCACGCACCCCACACAGGCTCTTACACACACACACACACACACACACGTCCTTCGCGAACAGCCTCGCCTAGAGAGCCTGGATTATAGAGAGCGTCAACCGTTCTCGACGCTCATTGGCTGAGCTCCGATGGAGCTAGAGCAGCGGTAATGCTGCCTGAGGGCGCATACCCGACCCGACGCGACGTAGTGGCGATCGGAACAGCCAAGTCAAGCCTTGGCAGTCATGGTAAAGCAATGCATTCAAAAAGCGCTGCACATCATTGCTCGATAATTGCGGCCTAACCTTACCAGTGTCCATGCACAGGCTGCAGAATGGCCTGCAGCTCCGGCTCCATCGGAACTCAGCCAATCAGCGTTGGCCCCCCACCACCTCGGTTGACGACTCTCTCCCACTCCAGGCTCTCTAGCCTCGCCGCCTCAACGGGGCAAAGCGCCTGCGGACGCGAGGGTGGGCCAGCCCGCCGAGCTTCGGCCGCACAGGGTTGCCTATCCGCTCTCCGTCGGGCGCTATCCGCTGGGCTCCCCTGGCCTCCCTGTCCTCACCGCGCACTGCGTCACTGCGTTGCACTGCATGCAGTGCAGGACCTCGGGCAACGCCACCGCCGTGGTGGTGGTGGTGGTGGTGGGGATCGCAGGTCGCTTTGTTGCAGCCGGGCGGCCGGGGCCTTTTGGCGGCGCTATCCCGGGTGGCTTCGGCTTTTCGTTGCTTTGCAACTTGATGGCGCGGCCGCATTGTGCGCTCCGCACGCGGCGCTTTGGTCGCCCTGCCTCTCTCGCACCGACACAGAACGCCCCATGAGTGAGAGAGAGACAGAGCGCGTCGCATTGTGGTCGCGCGGTCACCCGCTGAGGCCGCATCGTCCTCGAGGGAGGGAAGGCCACTGGAAGTTGTTCCGGGCGTCGTGTGGAGATTTGAACGCGGCGTGCTCCATAGCAGACCGTTCCGAGAGAATTTCCCGTCGCTCTGTCTCTCTCGCTGTCATGAGACGTCCCGTGTCGGCGAGAGGGAGACAGAGCGCAGCCGACTGCCGGCTACTGCAGTCTGCAGTGCAGTGCACTTGCATTGCGGGAGCCGTTATTGCCTCCATCACGGGAACGGTGCGGGCAATTTTTCATCCTTACGTTCTTATGTACGGCATTGCCTCCTCCCTCGCCACCGCCATTGTTGTTGTTGTTGTTGTTACGCTCGTTGCCGGTGTGCCAGTGTCCCCTTCCCGCGCGGAGAGCCCCCGGCTTTTGTCTCAGCCCGGCGGGGTGCCTTCCTGTTCCTGATCGATGCCGCGATTAGAACAGCTGTTGTGTTGCCATGGCCACGGCGCCGCGGGCATCGTGGCGTAGGGATGCCTTCCCCGCGCTCCCCTCTTCCTCACACCCCTCTCCACTATTTACCCGGAACGGATTGGTTTCAGTCGACAAATCGTTTTCAATCCGAACCTCTTCATTCCGTTTGGTGGGGTGGGCGCGTTGTGCCGCGACACGCAACCGGAGGGGGAGGGGGTGGAAAGGGGGGGGGGGCGGAAGCCGGCGGCCAGCGCCGTTCCCCCAGAACGCCACTCACGGCGAATTTCCGGTGCCTGTGACTTGTCATCAGCCATCAGTCCAGCTGGCGCGAAAGTGGAGTCGACGGGGTGCCTCACCCTGGGGGGGCACTGGACAAACGGCACTGCCGCCTCGCCGCCCCTTTGGCCGACTCTGGATCCGTCACTGACACTCATCTCTCTACACTCACTAGGGTCACTATACTCACTCTCTCGCGCGGTGTTTTTCGAGTTCTTTGTCCCTAATTTTGTCGAGGCGACATCGTCGCGCTTCGCGTTGCACCTGTTCTTGCTCTGTCAGGCTTTCGAGCTTTCGAGCGCCCCCCCCCCCTCCACTCAAACTTTGAGTCGGCGGGTCGTGCGGTGCGTAGCAGTGCGTAGCTGCGGTTGTTTGCTGCCCTTCTTTTGTAGTTGGCGCCCCCCAAACTTTTAGTGGTGGCACGCATTTCAATTGCCTGTTGTGCGGTGCAGGGGAGTCAGAACGCCCCGCCCCGCCCCGCACTCCACGCGGTGGTTGGTGCCTAACGCGTCGATGGCATGCAGGCGACAAGAGCTGCTGCTGCACTTGTGTCAAGACACAGAGCGCTTCCCTCTCACTCTCCCTCCCTCTCCCTCCCTCTCTCCACTCCCGGCGGGGCCACACTGCAGCAATGCGTGACGCGGCCACGCGGCAGTACAGCCCCCAAAGCGTGCTTTAGTTTAAGTGTCGGCCACAAAGTTTCGCGGAATGACTTTTGCGGCCGAGCCGAGAATTACAGTGGGGCTGCCACGCCGCCACCCACGCCCTGCCCACGCCGCCGCGAGCACACACTGCAAGCCAGCGCAACGCCCGTTTGTAATGTTTTCTTTATTTTTCAGTTTTCCACAAATGGTTCTATTCTAGGAAAGTGAGAGGAAAAGTGCGTGTGTTTGTCTTTGAATGGCACGTGCTTCGCCTCGCCCTTGTGTGCCGCGGCTCGAGGGCTGGGGCCGGGCGGTGCATCGTGTGCATGCCGAGGCGCTATTCGCTGCCGCGGCGGAACCAATTTGCGCCCCGGTGCTTCCGGCCGCAACTTCCCGCCGCCCCGCCCCGCCCCGCCGAGGAAACTGATGGCGGCAATCAGCACCCTTCCCGGCGCGCGGCTGCCTCTGTGATTGCGCCCTGTCTCTCCATTTCCGACGAGATCCACTCAAGGAACGCGGCTTGCTTGTCGTCTTGCAGGACCTGCAGGAGGAGCTGCTGCAGGACGTGCCCCAGGCGGACAAGGCGCAGGTCGGGCAGCTGCTGTCGTGCTGCTTCTCGCTGCTGTCCCCCGAGGCCGCCGCGCTCTCCATCCCGGACTTCCCCATCGCCTCCCTGCCCGCCCTCGTCAAGCTCATGGTGAGAAGCAGCAGACCTCGCAGTAGACTCATTCAGAGTCGTTTTCGTCGCTCTGTCTCTCTCTTACCCCTACGGCGCGCCCCATGAGTGCGAGAGGGACAGAGCGACTTTCGTGCGGCCCGCCACGCGCCCCTGTTCGACGGGGTGCCTATCCGCCGCCGCCGCTACCCCGTGCTGCACGGCGCTTCGTCGCGCTGTCTCTCTTGCGCCTTTACGGGACGGCCCTTGAGTGCGAGAGAGACAGAGCGACGCCAGCGACGTGGGCCCTTGTTGTCCTGCAGGGCGAGTTCCCCGAGCTGCCGCTCCACTCCCTGCTGTGCCGCGCCTACCCGTACCGCAGCTTGCTCGGCGAGGACGGCGTCCGCGCCGTGGAGGACCTGCTGGCCACGTTCAACGTGGCGGAGTCCGAGCGGCCCGGCAGGCTGCGGCTCGACGGCGTGGCGGCCCAGCCCCACGCGTCCACGGCGTCCGTCACCATCTCGAGCGACGGCCGCAGCAACACAGTGGAGGTATGCCGCGTGGTTTTGCTGTTTTTCTTTATTTTGCTAGTGTCGTGTTCCGGTTTGATATTGGTTCGGCGCCTGTGCAGGTCCCCCGCGGCGCGGGCGAGGGAGGCAGCCCCGCTCCCCAGTTCGTAGACACGCCCCACCAGGAGTCGCTCCTGGCGCAGCTGATGCAGAGCCACGCCGTGGCCGACCTGTGCGTGATCGGGCCGCGCGGCTGCGGCAAGAGCGCCACAGTGCGCCAGCTGGCCTCCACGCTGGGCTACACCATCGAGCCCATCGTCCTCTTCCAGGTGAGAATTGCTGTTTGAGCGAAACTTAAGGTCGTTGCAGGTTGACTGAATGCCGTGTGAATGCCGTGTCTGTTCGCAGGACATGACCTCCAGGGACCTGGTGCAGCAGCGCACCACGCTCCCCAACGGCGACACGGTGTGGTACGACTCGCCGCTCGTGACGGCGGCGCTCAGCGGCCACCTCGCCGTGCTGGACGGCCTGCATCGGGTGCATCCGGGGACGCTGGCCGTCATTCATCGGTGGCTTTCCTTTCCTCTCCTCGCAAGCTGTTTCCCGTCCCCGTCTCATGTTGTTGCTTTACTTCTTTTTTCTCATTTTTTCAACAGGCTGTCGCAAGACAGAGAGTTGCAGCTGCACGATGGCAGGCGTTTGCTTCGTGACGATAGGTACTCAGAGCTGAAGACAAAACTGGGTTTGTCAGACGAGCAATTGGCAGAGGCTGGAGTTCAGAGAATCCATCCTTCCTTCCGTATGATTGCTCTGGCAGAGCCGCCATCATCTGGTGGGTGCATTCATTTGGCATCCAGTGCTCATCTCAAGTTCATTTTCATTTCATTTCTATGTTTTTTCTCTGTTATGCAGGCAAGGGGTCTTCTCAGTGGCTCACCCCAGAGCTTTTGAACCTATTTCTTTTCCATGAAATGAGGCCGTTGAGCAGTCAGGAAGAGCTTTCAATCATCACAGATCTGGTATGGTTTTCTGGCAGAAAATCTGTCCTGTCTTAAGGGTTTCTGACAGCTTGGCCTTGGCCTTGCCCTGAGTGATGACGTAGCATCTAGATAAGGTTCTCTATTTAATTTTTCTTTTCAGTACGGAAAGCCCTCTAAAGCTGTTGAAAGTGTAATAGATGTGGCTCACAATCTGAGGGAGTCGGAAGACCCCACTTTACGTGCAGTTGCTTCATCTTTGTCCACACGGCAGCTCCTCCGCATAGCAAGAAGAATGGCCTCTTTCCCCACAGATGGTTCTTATGATGCTGTTCATCGAGCATCTCTTGCCAGGTTTGTTATTTTTAATATAACTAGGCTTGAGCTAATTATTCTGGTTTAGCTCTGACTTGATTTGAAATTGTGATTTCAGGTTTCTTCCAAACATTGCTCGACAGTCCTTAGAGAAGCTTCTATCTTCTTTAAATGTTCTGAAGCCAGAGGCTCTAGAGTCAGAAGAACATAATGATAAGTGCATTGTTGAAGGAGATTCATTAAAAATAAGAAACACAACAGCTAAACGTTTTCCAGATACAACTGCCAAATCTAAAGTTCCTGACATACTCTTCTATGATGTGCCTCAGGTGTTCATCTTGTTTCTTTGTGTTGTTTCTACTACTTATGATGTGATTTCCTATTTTAGTAATAATATTTTTTCTGCCCTAGCACCTAACTCTTCTTGAAGCACTTTTACAAGATTTTGTTCTTGGTGAGCATTTATTACTGGTTGGAAATCAAGGTGTAGGAAAGAACAAGCTTGCGGACAGATTACTCCAGCTTCTCAACAGACCACGAGAGTACATTCAATTGCACAGGTATGCTTCACACTTTCTGTTGTCCTTTTCCCTTCTGTACGTTGTACACACTTTCAATTTTCCTGTGTTTGTTCTGCAGGGACACAACTGTTCAAACACTCACACTTCAGCCAACAGTCAGAGATGGAATCGTAGTCTATGATGACTCCCCCTTGGTGACAGCTGTGAAGCTTGGCCATGTTCTTGTTGTTGATGAAGCTGACAAAGCCCCAACACATGTCACCTGCATTTTGAAGGTGATGCCCTCAACCTGTCTGTCCTGTTGAAAAATCTATAATTATCGAATTGGCAATAAATTTTGTTTTGCTCCGCAGACATTGGTCGAATCAGGGGAGATGATACTTTCTGATGGTAGAAGAATAGTCTCATCTAATGATATTCGTGCATCAAATCCTTCACCAAATATTATCCCGGTTCATCCAGATTTTCGAATGATTGTATTAGCGAACAGGCCAGGCTTCCCATTTTTGGGGAATGATTTCTTTGGTTCCTTAGGTAAGTGATTGTTTGTTCTCTTGAAGATCACTAAATCAACATCTTGCCTTTATTTTCACTTTAAATTTTATTTTAGGTGACTTGTTTAGCTGTCACGCTGTAGACAATCCTAGTCCTGAGTCTGAGAGGTCTTTGCTAAAAAGTTATGGACCAGATGTACCAGATGCTTTATTGGAAAGACTAGTCAAAGCATTTGGAGAACTGCGTAATATGGCAGATCAGGGTTTAGTAAATTATCCATATTCAACTCGAGAGGTTGTAAACATTGTTAAACATTTGCAGGTAAGCTATACACTTTGCCACTTAATATTTTACTTGTCAAAAATTAAAGCTGTGAAGGAAATGTTAAAAATTTCTGTGTCTATGTGTTTGTAGAAATTCCCTGAAGAAGGATTGGCAAGTGTGGTGTCAAATGTCTTTGACTTTGATCAGCACAGCAAAGAAACCTTAGAGACTTTAGTCAGTGTACTCCACAAGCATGGGATTCCTGTGGGTGCAAAGCCAACAAATGTAGCGTTAGCAACAGAGTAAGGATTTTATTGAGGTTTTTTTTCATTTAGCTCTTCAGAACCTGTCATATTGCTCCAGAAGGGGCTGCTTTAACTTCATCTGTGTGCCAACTTGTTACAAATTTTTTACTTGCTGTAAATAAATATTTTTGACTTAAAAGCAACTTTGTGTTCTTGTCAGGTTGCCTCTTCCCCCACTCAAACAAGTTGCACAGTGGCTAGTAGTTCAGACTGAGACCACATCTCTTGGGGTTGAAGAAAGATTCCTGAAGACGAAAAGAGCTCAACCAGTACATCATGAAACCTTTACAATTGACCGAGTTGAGGCACGCTCTTCATTCTTCAGTGAAATGCAAAGCTATTGGAACATGCCTATGAATGAGATGACGATAGTCTCAGGACTAGCTGTCACCAAAGGTAAATTTTGAGCATTATCACTGGTTCTACTTTTCCTCCTATATGGGTGAAGAGACAATTTGTGTACAATGCCATATGCTCCAATTCCAGGACCCAACTTTGCAGAGGACCTTATTCACGTTGCCACAATTAATCCTCAGAGTGTGGTTACCATGTCGCCATATAAAGAGAAAGCATTATACATGTCCCTTCAAGGGTGCCTTGGTTCATCACGATATTCCCGGTCTCAAATATCCTTAGCTGCCTTAGGGGGAAGTAAAAAGGGTTCTCTCCTTGTTCATGAAAGATCTGTGAGTACCACCAACCTGCATTGATTACAGTAATTTGACCAAAAAGAAAATAGAATGTTCGACTAAGGCCATCATATGTTTCTGTTCATTTAGTCCAACAGTTTGGTTCTTCTTGACACTGAGAGGAAGGAAGTAAGAGAGCTTCCAGTTGCATCATTTTTAGATCAGGCTACAGAAAAAATATTTGGCAATTCAAGAAATCAGCCTGTCTGGGAGATGGTCCCAGTAACTGGCACTAATAATGTTGTAAGTTCTATTTGTATGTCTAGTGTATTTTATGTAACTGAATTTTCTCTTTTTCTTCTGCATTCATTTTCTTAAAACCTTTTATTTCTTAGATATTGTTTGAGAAAGGTGGCTCCAAAGTGGAGCTCATAAACATTGATGACTTGACAGCATATTCTCTGACAGTTCCCTTCACTGTGTCAACCCTTCATGCTGCTGGCATTGACACATGGCTTCTAAATGATTCTGATAACAGGTCTGTTTTTCTTTTGCATTGATCATCATTATATGAACCTGGAATTAATACCATTATCAATATGAAATATTTTTATTCCATTAACAGGAAATATTCTTTGAAGAAGAGTAACATCAACGACCCCTGCCCCAGTGTGCTAAGGATGCTGTATCAAGAGGGTGCTGACTCCATTGCACCTCCAATTGGTGCCATAATAAACTGTGATACAACTGGATTGGGTTCCAAAGCATTGTCCGAGGCGCTTGGCCAAAAAATTAGTTCTCCAAACCGAATACTCTCCACTTCCGAATCTCTAGCCACTGTTGTGGTAGGCTTTCCAGATTTAGATTTAAGTGCTACAGATGTGTATGCATGGAAACGAGAGCATGGAGTCTCCTCCAAATCATCTGCTGTGATATTGCCTGATGTTGGACAGGTAATCAGATTGGGATTAACACTGTGAGTACCTTGTACTCCATTAAAAAGTTAAAATTTTGAACTAATTCTACTGTTTGCTGATATTGTTCAGATAATCAGACCAGTGAGAGTTGCTGAAGTTCCTTCTGCAATTGCAAAACAAAATGATGAAGGCTTATCTGGTTATTTGGAAGTTATTGATCTTCTAAACCACAAAATGAGATTTGTACCTGTACCTGAGTAAGGCAAAATTTTTCTTACCTAGTTTAACTAGTATTTACTTTCTATACCAAAGCTGTTATTCATCTTATTTTATTTGCTGTAGGCCCAAAGTAAGCTCTTCAGCATCAGCATTTGTCTATGCCAGTTCTCAACAACCACTTTTTGTTGCTGAGCGAAGTAATAGCGGACTTGTAACAGTGGATAATGGTGGCTGCATACGCTTGTGGGAAACAGGCCTAGCTCAACTTGAGCGGAGTCTAGATGAATGGCAAAAGATGGTTGGAACAGGTGTGTGAGATTAACATGGTCAATGGGCATGATGATGTGCATCCCTAAAAATGCTAACACCTATCTTGTCCTCCTTGTCTTCAGGGCGTGATGATCTGTCGTTGACTGTTGATCGAGTCAGTGGGTTGGATGTTTCTAGCCCTAAACATGGAAAAGTGGATCTCAAAAATGATCCGCATGTGGGTGGAAATACATGGGCTGGAGGCACTGGGGGCAGAGACACAGCTGGCCTTGGTGGAAAGGGAGGGCCGTACCGACTTGATGCAGGCCACAAAGTCCATCAGGTGCTGTTTGCAGATTATCACTTTAATGGCAGTTTGTTTAGAACTTGATATATTGTCATGATTGCAACTGTGCTTCTTTTTCAATTTTATGTATAGCTCAGCGATGAAGAGAAAAATGCCATTCCGGAGCATGTGAAGAAGGCAGCGCGAGAGATGGGTCAAAGAGCTTTCCAAGAAAGATTAAAGGAGATCCAAATGAGCCAATATGATGCTTCATTGTATGACCAATTTTACAAGGGCGTCAGCAAACAGGTAATTCTTTTTCTGTTGTTATGTTGCTTAGTTCTACAGTCTTCCAATTTTTGCTGAGCAGTAGGCTGTGCATATTAATCAGTAATTTTAATAAGACTCCAATTTCTTTGCTTTTACGGTAGATACAATCCTTGAGAGTAATTCTTGGTAGTCTTCAAGCTAAATCCAAAGAGCGTCAGTGGCTGAGGCATCAAACCAGTGGTGAACTTGATGATACAAAACTGATTGAAGGCATGTACTTATAGTTTTCCTTTTCTAATATCGGAAACCTTGTATGATAGCTATTTATTCCTAAATTTTAATGATATCGGATTCAATTGTAGGGCTTACTGGAGAAAAGACTATTTACCGACGTCGTGCAGAGGCAGAACCAGAATTGGGGGCTCCCCAACTTAAACCAAAAAGACTGCGAGTGGTAGTCGATGTCTCTGGGAGCATGTATCGGTAAGATTCTTACTTGTGTATCTTCTGCAATCCTATGTTAATTTTGCATTGCTTTCTCAAGGCTCTAATATATTCTTGCGCTGTGAATGATTTAGATTTAATGGGTATGATGGCCGCCTCGATCGAGAAATGGAAGCTATGGTCCTTGTTATGGAAGCATTTCAGGGCCATGAAGACAAAATTCTCTATGATATCCATGGCCACTCTGGAGAAGGCTTTGGAATAGAGTTTGTAGATGCTCACAAGCCCCCTAAAGACAATAAAGAGCGTTTAAATGTGATAAAGGTAAGTCTGATAAGTTTTGATTAGGTTGACACCCATTCATTATTTACTTGAATCAATGTCTTGTTTTTCTTCTAGACCATGCATGCTCATGCTCAATTTTGTATATCGGGTGACCATACATTGAGAGCATCAAAAGCTGCCATTAGCAGTCTAGCTCAAGAAGACTGTGATGAGGCTATTGTGGTTATTCTTTCTGATGCCAATTTAGAGCGCTATGGAATTCCACCCAAGCGGTTTGCCATGGCACTAACAGAAGAACCCAAAGTAAATGCGTACGCCATCTTTATTGGCTCTCTAGGGGATCAGGCAGCAAGGTAGGCTCATATCACTCCTACATGTGTTAGTGAAAGTACAGTCTCACTGATTAATTTCAATGTCATTTCTCCTTTCATCTAGATTGGCCAAGCAAATGCCAGCTGGAAGAGCATTTGTTTGTATGGATTTGAAAAACATACCTCAGATTCTTCAACAGATATTCACAGCATCTATGTTGAACTCTGCTTAAAGTATTAATTTGGGTGTTTTTTGTAGTGAAATATTGTTCTTTGTTAGGATTTGTATAATAATTTTTATTTGATGGTACATAATTATTTTTCTATCTTAAGTGTATACATGCTGGCATGAATTTATTTTTTTAAAGACTGTTGGTTACCATATCTATCATAACATGTGTTCAAACTTTCATTGGTGTATTGAACTATTTGTAATAAAGTAAATCAATTTCAAAACTTGGTAGCTTTGTGTGATTGTGACCCATCAAGATCAATCTAGACTACATAGGAACTTATTTGGTGTTCTAGGGCGGGTGATGTATTACAATTATGTACAAACATCCTGAGTCCTGATCTTGCCTAAGAGTCCTCCACTCCAGGACTGTTACCAGGACATAGTAGTGGCAAAGTAAAAAGGTGTTAAACAAATCAAGGAAGATAAATAGTGGAAGGCTTTTATAGTATGACTTTGTACAGAAAATTATAAGACCTTACATAATTAATAAATACCAGCCGAGCAGAAATAAAATTTAGATATGAACACTGAGCTGACTCCATACATGTAGATGTCAAAAGATTCACAATCGTCTTACCAACAAGACGGGCAGATGAAACACAAACCATAAGGGCACAGAAGAGCAATTTAGCTCAACTGATGCATCAACATAGGATGGAATGATGAGAAATAAACTGGCACAAATTGAAAATTCTGTCCTTTTACTTGTGCTTAAGTAGTTGCAGATCCTACACAGAAACTCAAATGTTGAGTTTTGTACATTAAATTACACATTTTGCACATTTGCCCCCGAATCAGAATCTATTCAAAAAGTAAAATCCATCAAAACAATGACAATTTTCTCAGCATTGAGAGCTATCTTCTAAATTAAAAAGGCAATGGGCGGGTGATAAGTCAATACCAAAGGCCCTAAGATACCTTAAAATGATCACAATTCAGTTCACAGGATGTTTGGAGCTCTAAAAGTTGATTGCCTTGCCTGCATAAGCAGCAGTGTTCGCTTCTCTGAATGCTTCTGAGCAGGTCTGGAAAAACAAAAACAATAAGGTCAGATATTTATCAAACTAGAATAGAAATTCTTTTGCTTTCTGTAACTTTAAGTACTTACAGGATGAGCATGGCAAACTCGGGCAATGTCTTCGCAAGATGCACCATACTCCATGGCTAGGCAGGCCTCACCAATCAGCTCACCAGCACCCTGAAAAAATTCAGTTTAAATTTAAAAAGGTTGCTAGCCCCAAGAAAATATGTTTTGAGAAACAAGTTTGCCTACCGGTCCAATAATGTGGGCACCAAGCAGCTTGTCAGTGTGTTTGTCACCCAGAATCTTGACAAAGCCATCAGTCTCGTTGTTAGTCTTGGCTCGGCTGTTGGCAGCGAAGGGGAACTTGCCAACCTTGTACTCAATACCCTGAAAGAAGATAGTTTATAGGTTGAAAGCACATAATACTACACACAATATTGAAGTATTGCTTTCTTTTTAAATTGTACCTCCTTCTTCAGATCTTCTTCATTCTTTCCAACCCAGCCAACTTCAGGGTGAGTGTAAATTACAGAAGGCACACAGTTGTAGTCGATGTGAACTGGGCCTCCCGCAATGCCTTCCACACAGATAATGCCTTCATCTTCAGCCTTGTGAGCCAACATCGGTCCATGAATGCAGTCACCAATAGCAAACACACTGATAAGACACAAAACAGTTCATAAATCTTCAGTAATCAACCAATTTTTGTTTAAAAAAAAAAGCAAAGAAAAAAAAAACAACAACAAGTGAACTTACTTGGGGAGTACAGTCTGGAAACGAGAGTTCACTGGGATGCGACCCTTCTCATCTTTTTCAATGCCAACATCTTCCAATCCCAAGTTATTGGTGAATGGTCGTCGCCCAACACTCACAAGCAAAACATCAGCATCCAACTAAATGGAAATATATGACAAGGAACAGAATAAGAAAATCGCTAGCAGAAAGTAGTTCCATTCAATGTTACTGCCTTTTTACCGTTTCCTTCTTGTCAGGATTCTTGGCATCTTCGACAGCCACCTTGATCTTGCCACCCTCCCGGGACGCACCGGTGACTTTGGTTCCTAGCTTGAATTTCATGCCCTGCTTCTGAAGAATGCGTTGGAATGTTTTGGCGACTTCAGCATCAATGCCAACGCCTCCAATTGAGTTCAGAAATTCAACAGCAGTGACTTCAGCACCAAGACGACCCCAGACTGATCCCTGTTTGCAAGGAAAAATTATTGGAATGTGAATAAAAAGTTAAATAAGGGAAGTACATATTATTTTCTGTGCATATATGGTTGACACACACCAGTTCAAGACCAATAACGCCTGCACCAATGAGGACTAGTTTTTCAGGTACTTTTTTCAAAGACAGGGCTCCTGTGGAGGAAACAATTGTCTCCTCATCGATTTCAATGCCAGGGAAAGGTGTAACTTCTGACCCAGTGGCGATGAGAATGTTCTTTGTCTTAACAACTTCGGTTGAGCCATCTTCCTTCAGAGCTGTAACTTCATTTGGCCCAGTGATTTTGCCATGTCCACTGACAAGTGTGACCTTTGAATTAAATGAAACAAAACAAAAATAAATAAAACAAACAAGGATGTATTTTTTAAACTCAGTTTGTTTAGGCCTCCACAAAACCAAAGTACCTTGTTTTGCTTGAATAGGTGGGCAATGCCTCCTGTTAGTGCTTTCACAGCATTGACTTTCTGTTGCATCATTTTATCTAAGTTCAGCGTAACTCCAGAAGCTATTGGAAAGATTAAAGACAATATACTCTTTTTAGAAAAACCTACGTGAAAATATTAGACAGTTTAGAATGATAAGATTCTAGCTTCAGATACATACATTCAATGCCTCTGCTTGACAAATCTCCAGAGTGTGCCATGTGATAGTAGTGGGAGTTATTAAGAAGGGCTTTGGATGGAATACAGCCAACATTTAAGCAAGTACCACCCAGTGTAGCATTCTTTTCAATGCATACAGTCTGTAAGAAAAAGAAAATAACATTATTTTCATAAATGGCATGATAGTCTAGGCCTTATTCAAAAACAAACAACAATAAATCGAAGCAGAGTGATTTCTTACTTTCATTCCTAACTGAGCGGCTTTAATGGCTGCTACATAGCCACCAGGGCCTGAGCCGATGACAACAATATCAGCCTCCTGGCCACTGGAATAACTCCGCCTCTGGGCGCACATTGACAGGATGGCCTGCGGACATCTCTGCAAAGAGTTGAGCTGAAACACACCGCATTGAAAAATAATAACCAGGGGCTTAGCAATGAAAAGCACAGAAGGTAAGCTGTTGAAGATTAAACTGCATCAGTAACTACTGCAGTGTCATACTTGAACACAATATTTGTGACATTGACCTTGGCAGTACAAATACAAGTACACAAGATCTAGTTCGCTACATGATATGAGTAAACTATTTAACAAGAGAGAAAAGACAGTATTATGAGAAAAATAATTCATACAGGAAACTTAGTGACAGCGACCCCACAATGAAAGAATGCACAAATGAATGAAAGACAACCACTGACCAACCTGGCTCACAGATTTGTAATTTCCTGGAATAAAGCAATACAATGGGCAGGAAAAATGGGGTTTCACACGAACATGTCATTCTAAATTGTTAGCCAACACAGGTATGCAACCTGCTGAGGGCAAAAATTTAACAAAGTGCAGCAGCTGATAGCTGATAGCAAACAGCATTTAACCTCAAAATCTGATGGGGGTCGGACGACTTTGTTGGGTCAAAGTTTAATAACTATTAAAAAATACGATGGCATAAGTCCATTCCGTGGCATAGGAATAACAGGCTCATAGGTCTGTCGATTCGCATGGCATTCAAAAGGCCGGAGCCCACGTCGGTGTCGGGTCCTAGGTCAAATCAAACGACATTTCGACACCCTGGTGTACGGACCGCTGCCAAAATTTACTCATATCTCCCATTGAAGCTAATGAATGTGGTATGTCGTGGCGTGCCTTTATGTTCCGATGAAATTTAAACCAAAATGCAATGTGAACATACCTTTGCAGAGGATGTAATACGGCACAAAACTTTGAAATGCATGATTTTTGAGTTCGTCCGAATTCGCTTCTGCTCGATCGGCGAAAGGCAGCAGAAGCAAGGAAGGGAAAGAGGAAAGGGTAGACGGGAGGGGCACCCGGGAGCCGGTAGGCCCGCTAGCAGCAGTTGCGTTAGTGGTGGGGGTCGCGGGCGTTTTCGTTGCTCTGTCTCTCTCGCACTAATCGGGCGCCGCGACTAGGTGCGAGAGAGACAGAGCAGGAAAATTGACTCTCGGAATCAGTCTGCAGGCCAGCCGCTTCCGCTTCCGCTCCAACACCCCCACCACAATTCCCCCACCCCTGCGACTACTCTCCCGTGTGCTCCTCCACAGTCTCTCGACATTTTTGAAATCTACGCCGTTCTGTATTTTCTTTTGCACGTTATTGAATTTATTTACCGGTGAGTAACAATTTTAAGGTATCAAAATGCAGCTAGCTGTGTTTGAGGTTCGCCTCCTATCAAAGAACCTTTATGACAGTTATTTCATCCTAGCGATTTCTTTTGATAAGTAAGCTTGTTAACCTCAGCTCTTTCTCATGGTGAAGCAGAAAAAAATCACAACTTATAATATTCCCGCCCTCACTTAGCCCCAATTTCGATATGTTGTGTCATTATTTTCCCTTAACTGTATCTTGATTTTCATCTGTTTCATTGGAGCTTTATATTTCAGTCATGGGCAATTTTGCCTCGACAGCTCAGGCTGCAACAGCGCATCCTCCAATGGTTGGGGAGCCACCTCCAGAATGTCCGATGCACCAGAAGAAGCCACAGCCAGCTCCAGCCGCTTCTGAGTGCCCAATCAATGCAGGTGGCGAGGCTATAAATCCACTGAATATGGTACGTTATACTGGCGTCATTTGACATTGCTTTGCTATGAAACACTTCTTTTTTTCAGTTTCAAAAAACTTTAACTTTTTATTTTGTTTCGCACATCTTAAAGATGCCAGCCCCCAATCAAGAACCTGCACCAGACCAGCCATTCCCCCTCCCAAAAGACCGCCAGGTTTCTACAATTCCCAAAGCGGGAAAGGATGGGGAATTCTGGGTTTACCCTTCCCAACAGGTATTTATTGATTCATGTTTCTTGTGTTCAAATCTGTCTGTAGTTCCACTTAATCATGAAAATTTTTATCCTTTTATTCCTCCAGATGTTTTGGAACGCAATGTTAAGGAAGGGCTGGAGATGGAAGGAGGAAGACATTGCACCTAAAGATATGGCAGACATTATCAAAATCCACAATGCGAACAATGAACAGGCTTGGCAAGAGGTGTGTAATGTAACACCGCACTGATTTCAGTAAATTTAATTATGAAGCTTATTTTATCTTTGTGGGTTCTGAATTTAGGTTCTCAAGTGGGAAGCACTTCATGCCAAGGAATGCACCAACCCTCGCCTGAAGAGCTTTGGAGGGAAAGCACAGAACTATTCTCCCCGAGCTCGAATTCGGAGTTGGATGGGGTATGTGCAAAGCTCTCTTTCATACTTTACAGCATTAAATCATTGTTTGTATGGAAGATTTTGTTGAGAAGTTAACCCAATTCCTTCTATTATTTTGTTTCAGATATGAATTACCATTTGATCGCCATGACTGGATCATCGATCGCTGTGGCAAGGATGTGCGCTATGTAATAGATTATTATGATGGTGGAGCTGTAGATCCAGCATATAAATTTGCATTGCTTGACGTTCGTCCAGCTATGGACTCCTTTGAAAATGTATGGGACCGAATGAAAGTAACATATATGCGTTGGAAGTTTGCAAGTGAAATTGAGGCTGCCAACCGAAACCCTGTTTCTGCTGCTCAATGAATTTCATTCATGACACCAGTGATTTGTTTCATCTAGTTGCTCAACAAGATTTTATTTCCTGTTTCTCATCTTCCTTTTCTTGTGAGGAAGTTTGGCTCTGTTATTCATTTTGTGTTCCTAAACCCTTAATTATTTTTTTTTGAAAGACAAGAAAATAAGTTTTGTGTCTATCAGAATGTGGCTATTTTTTATGATTTTCTTAATGTATGAGATTTTTGGTGATTTGCATTGTAGGAATGCCAAAATGTTTGAGATCAATATCTCTCGAAAGATTATCACTCTCAACAGAGCATTTGCAATATCATAAAATGAGTAGTCTGATTTAGGAGCTGAATCTGCTAGTGATGTTAGTTGTAGCAATATGTTCTTGACACTCCCTGACCCCTGGTATCTGTCTGTGTACCAGACCATAGGTCTATTGTTTCTCAGCCTTCGTCTTTATTTATTTAGATCAGTTCTTGCAAGCTGTTCTATTGAATTGATGTTACAATTGTCATCACAGAACTTGTGAACTTTTTAGGTTTTTGACAGTATTTGAGCAGTTTTTGGCCATTGTACATGTAGTAGTTCAGATAAAATGGATTTCAGAAATTCTTATACTTCTGAATATCTGTATTGGCACGTTTCTGTTTCAGATTTTTATTCATTGCGTTTCCTGTGATTAAGATTTTCCTAGATATGCAGTATTAGTATTGCTATTGTCTTGTAAAATATAGATCAGAATTTATTAATGCAGAGCTGTAATCTGCAGCAAAGAAACGCAATTGAAAAAATTTTCATGCACAGGATGAGTAATGTATGTAGAAACGTTGTGTTATTTCATGGTGCATGCTTTGTGTGATTTAATTATCACTGACTGAATTTGTTTAACATTTAATTGAGCATCAAGTTAACTTAATGTAAACCAAAGTCCTTAATTATTAGGATTAAATGTTAGTAAAAGACATCTCAAGTGTGTGATTAATGTTTGGAAAAACTCTTTTCAACCCATAACACTAACAAAACGACATTCTTCACTTTATTGATCATTTTTCTATCGAAATGATGCTGGAGTCTGCTGGGCCTCGTTCAAAGTTGGCGCCCTGTCACACGGCCTGGAGCGTCGTCTGCGCAAGACGCCATTTTGAGTTATGGCCTCTGGACCACTTGTTGTGTTCAGTGTTGCTGGCGGCTCAAAGCTGCTTTGTCGAGGCTAAATTGTTGAATCTGACTCGATGCTCGTGTTAACTTTACCATAGATTCCCTTGCCTTCTTCTAAAGTGTTTGAAAAATGCCAGGTAAATCCATTTGACATCTGGCTAGGTCGGGCCGGCAGTGCCTTGCAGCATCCCAGCTTCAGAAGAAAATGTAACTTTTGATTCACTACTTGATTGTTTACCCAAGTTATTAGAGCGTTAGGGTTTAGGTAATCTACAGCACAGCAGGCGATGATTATTTCTTTCTATTATGGCCGTTAAGTCTGGGTTCTGTGCTTACACTGTACACATTAACCCTATATTTTATTCATCCATATTCTTTATGGTTGACTGATTTACAACATTTCTATATGAATGTCAACCTGCGTCTGAGGATAAGTTGCCAGAAGACAGGGAATGCCACTCAAAGTAGATGTGCAACATCGATAATTTATGAAAAATTTGCAGTTTCTATTTATTGCTGGAATATTTTCTTGACAAGAAAATAATTGTCCAGTCCATTCGTCATCGCAGACCACCTATCTATTTTTATCGTTAAGACACATCCTGAAACTTATGGACAATAGAATCCAAACACATACGATCTCTTTGAAAATACTACGTTCCTGGAGATAAGTAAAACCTCTTCTGTATTTTCAGGTATGCTGTTTTCCAAGAAGGTGCTTACGTTAAGTATAAGTTATATCAGCAAAAGATATTTTCCATTGAGAATTTAGCTTTCTATCACTTATGAGTTTTGCTGTGTACACGCTGTATCTTTATAGGGCTTTCTGTTTCGCTAATTTATTACCATTTCATTCAATTGCAAAGTTATTCTTTGCATTTTTGCATCTTACCTTGTCAGGACTTATTAACACTCTGGTTCTTCACAGTTTTGTAAATTATTGTGAAATATTATTCATGTTGTCTCTCATTATACAATCAAAATTTTGGCTTATTGGTAGTGAAAGATTGCTGAAAAATGTTAATCAACACATGATCAACAGAATATTCTGATTTTAGTAGTTTTGAAGTGCAAACTGTAATTTAGAACTGTATTTTGCTCTTTGAATTTTTATTTTTAAATGTAGACTATGCTTGCTTGTATCTTCTTTTGTCATTACATGTATGTAGTCTAGCTGTAATCCAAAAGGGTAAAAGAAGTTGAACTTATTACTAGAGGAATAGAAACACATTTTGTGAAAAAAAAAACCACAAAAAGACATATTATATACCTGACACCTGACTTAATGTATTGTACCACTAATGTTTAGCTCAAAATCGTTTGCACTGAGCATTTTGAAGGGGTGTCTTCACTAGTAACTAGTTGGGAATGTTTCCTGTCTCCTTTGATGATAGTTATTAGTGAATTGTGAAGATTGAAGTGTGAATTGTTTTGAGGTTCAGATAGCTAGTACTGAAAATTTTTTCTGTGAGATGTGATATTGTCTTTCTCGGAAAATAAAACTCATTTCTATTCGGCAACACCTGACTTATACACGTGCGTTCTCCTTTCCATCCATCACATTTTAACTGAGCTTTGTAAATTTATTTATTGTGCGCCACACATTCAGACTGTAGGGATAAGCTTTTTATTGTGTTTGTGGCACCACATGGGCACTTGTAGAAAAAGTAGCTTTGTAAATTTGAGAAGTTGTTTCATTTTGTAGACAGAATTCTGTGGAGAGAATAATTTATTTTGCATGCTATAATCTGTACATGAACTCTTAGATGATTGCATGAAGCCACCAACCAAACTTAAGTAGTTCACTTGTCCTACGATATATAAGGAATTGTGCCTTAAGTACAGAGAATTATTCACACGGTAGGTAGGAGATTTAAAATGTTTGCCAATGTAGTGTAATCGTTTCTAATTGTGGAGCCTATGGCTCTTTAGGGCATTGTTCACTATCTAATTTAAAATAAAAATTGAGGCATGACTGTTGCACCAGCTAGGCGGGCCATGCGGAACAGGCGAACGGGTTGCCTATGCTCGGCTCCGCGGCGTAGACGAGGGCGTATATCCCTTTTTGGGCCTACAGTGTGTGGGTCTTTGTTCGGGTGCACTGGAAGTACGAAGTACTGGAGCCATGCTGGGACGGAGGGGTGCCCGACGCACTACGTACGACGCACTGCGCGGCGTGGGGATCCTGGTGGGGGAGCCCAGCCCCACACTGGAAATTGAGATGACCGAGCCACCTGCAGCTTGGAGGCCATGTCCCCCACGTTGCCACTCGCTGTGCCTAAGTCTGGAAAAAACCGGCCTGTTGAGAGGCAGGGGAGGAGGACAGTGGAGTGGAGGCTGCGCCCGCCACTCGCTGTCTTTCCAGAAGGAACCCCCTCCCTTTTTCCAATTGCTGTTTGTTTCCCAGCTGTCGGCATGTCAGCCTCGGCCAGGCTGGCCTCGGCGCGTCTTGGCGGCATGGCCTCGGCATGGCCAGGGTGGGGGTGCCGAGGCCGAGGCCCGAGGGCGCGCAGTGTTCTGGATTCCTTTCATTAATCTAGCCAGGCAGCCCAGCCCTTGCCTCAGCCCTGCAGGGCGCGTTGCCGCCGCGCCACCTTTCGCCTCTTTAGCCCGGCCAGCGATTAGGGCTTTGAGGCTAGGGCTGGGTAGGCTGGGGCCCCGCGCCCAACGGCAACGGCTCGACTTGTCACGCCGGGCCAGCGGGAACGCGGGAACACAGAAGGGAAAGGGAAGGCCCACCGTGCGCCTAAGTGCGCGGTGCCACTGTCGCACCTTTCAGACCGCCTTCCTGGTTTGCGCAGCAGCAGCCTGCTTCCGAGAGTCGTTTTCGTCGCTCTGTCTCTCTCGCACACGTGGGGCGTCCACTACAGGTGCGAGAGAGACACAGCGACGAAAACGACTCTCGGAATCAGTCGGCTGGCCCCGCGTAGGCCGCCACAGCACAGTTCCCCGGTCCCCTACCCTAATTCGCCCGTCCGCCGTCCATTTATCCAGCCGATCCAGCCCCGCACTGCGAAGCTGTGAAGCTACGAAGCGTGGCGAGGCGGAGCCGGCGGAACAACCGTCCATAATGTCCCCATCGGGGTCGCCTAGGGGTCGCCCAGACATGCACCGCCGTCCAGTCACCTGCTCTTTCTGAAAACTAATCGCAATTGAAACACCAATTTAGGCATATTGTCGTTGTTTGTGGGTGTAGTTCATCGGGAAAAGGAAACAGGGGGTGGGGGCAAAAGAACTGTCTTATTGCGCTGACCATGAGTTGTAGTTCTTTCTAATTGCTACAGGGCTTCGGGTTCAAAATGCATTATGCAATAATTCATTTTTCTGCTATTATTTTTTTTAACATTGCGGGGGCAGCATTTCTCTTCTGGCAGCCGTTAATGGGCGCACGTCTCGTCGCGTCGCGGCGGACGGGACTAGACGGGACGGTCTGGAAAGTTTGGCAAACTAAAAGTCTGGCCTGTAGGCCGGCCTGGCCTCGGCCCGGCCTCGCCGCGCCCCGCGCCTCGCTCGCGACAAACATCGCAGTCTGAGCCGCGCGCCCACGTGCGTCTGCCTGCCTGCCTGGTCCATTCCGAGAGCCGTTTTCGTCGCTCAGTCTCTCTCGCGCCTATAAGGGACGCACCACGAGTGCGAGAGAGAACGAGTGACGAAAATTACTCTCGGAATCAGTCTGCTGGTCGGGCTGGGTTCGAGAGCGCGGGGGGCTGGCCGGCAGGGGCGGTACGGGGAGGGTGAGCCTCTCTGCTGACCGCAGAGGAATAGTATACCCTGTGTGAGTGTGTGTATGTGCGTGTGTTTGGCTGCCATTCACGCCCCGATGCGGCGCCACATTTCCGGGCCGGTCGAGCTGAGTGAGACACACACAGAGTCGGGCTCCCCACCGCACAGCACAATTAGCCCACACAATGGCGTTTTGAATCTCGCTTGGATCCAGCTTGCACTCGTTGGCCTCCCCTGGCGTCGTTTAGCTTCTGCCCCCCGCCCCGAGCGACACCGGTTGCAACTTGATTACTCGTCGGCATGTTTGCCTTTTGCTTCGCCCTTCGGCCGCTTTGAAGTCGTCTCGTCTCATACACGGACGGAACCATCACGGCACCGGGGCAAGGCGGAGCACAGTGGGCCAGAAGACCGGTGGAGGCGGACAAAAATGTAGACGCGTCTTGAGGTCCAGAGTCGCTAAATGGGACTCGAACAGAGCGTGTGACCCCACTAATGAATTTGCTCTCCGAACGAGCAACCCATTGGTGGAGTCACTCGCTCGGTTCGAAGCCTGTTTAGCGGCTCTGGAGCTCAAAATGCGTGCAGAGTTTTGTCCGCCCCCCACCGGTCTTCTGGCCCACTGTGCGGAGTGCGGGTCTCTTTACAGTGGAGGAGCCAATGTTTGCCGCGCGAGTCGCCTCGCCAGCCTGGCCAGCGCCGCGGTGTAACGTTCGCGGTTCGCGCTGCGGCGGCGCGTGCGTGGGACTTGCTTTGTGACTGCCAGTTGTTGCGGCACTTGCTGCTGTTGGGGCTGAGCGCTCAAGCCTGGAATAGCACGCGTTGAGAAAACAGTGACCGCTTTGTGGGGAGAGAAGAGGCTGACCCGCACTGGCCCCACAGTGTGGGCCACGGCCACATTCCCGCCGCGCGCGCGCGCACTCGGCCCTGGGTGAAATTCTGACCCCGCCAGGCAGGCAAACTCGCACGACTAGTACGGTTATCCCGTTGAAAACGGCTCATTCGTTCGTTTGGCATCATTAATCAATTTCGGCAATTTTTCCCTTAAGTTGGGACTTCAGGATGCTTTAGGTGGACCTTGGGGCGCTTTGGCGGGACTAGGATGCTTCAGAGGGGCTTTAGCATGAGGGTGCATTTAATTTACAAGGACTTTAGGAAGCTTTAGGCAGGGAGACTTCCCTTACCGGAGAGCGAGAGGAGCGTGAGGAGAGCAGACTGCTGACATTGTTGCCGAAGGGAACCGAAGGGAACTGGCCGAACGGCCGAACCGGCCGCCGGCCGACCGGGTTGCCTAGATACTCAAAACGTGCGAGTCTCTGCCGTTTCTGCACAACAGCTTGCGACAGAAGTCAACGAGATAACAGAAAATGGACGCCGGTGGTGGGAAACGTACTTTGATATCGAAAGCCTCGCGACGTGACAGGTCAGCTAGAATTAAGTGATTTCGTTTTCTCGGCAGCTAGGTGGTGTAGAAATTCTATCTTTGAGTGGACGAGATGTTTCCTTACCGTGTGCAGGAATGCCCTGACGCCGCGGCGGAGGCGGCGGAGGGCCTGGCCAGGGCCGATGGGCTAGCAGCGCTAGCTCCCTCATGGTGATCGCGTCGGAGCCCGTCGCACCGGCACGTCTTCGAGGTGAGTACCAATGCTCTTTCTGCAGCATACGCACGAGTGAGTAGCAAAAAGACGACTTCAGGGCAAGGTTTGGATAAAACCATAATTTAAAAGCATTTATTTTTGGACAAATGTTGACAGTTTGTATCGCTTGGGGCGCATGGCTGATGAAATTCGGAGTAATTTTTGCACGACGAATGATGAAATTTGTGTCCTCTCGTAGGCCGAATCATGAAATTTGTACCCTCTTTGTAAACTGAATAATTCAGTTTGCCGTGCCTCCCTGAGCTGGAGCGCGTTTGCACCCCGCAGCAGCCTGTAGAGCTGCCGATGATGCTTTCCGGCTGGCTGGCTGCCAAGGGCGTGTTTTCGGTCGAGGAAGGTATTTTTTAGTGCTTGGGCTGATTAAAAAAGAGTTCCGGGGAAACTCGAAAGGCGCTTGAGGGCTCGGAGCACCGCGGAGCGCCCCACGACCGATAGCCAGCAGACTAGGTTCCGAAGGCCTCTTCCGTCGCCGTCTCTCTCGCGCTCATGGGGCATCGGCTATATGTGCGAGAAAGGCAGATGACGAAAAGGGCTCTCGGAGCCAGTCTGCAGACAGCCCGGGGGGCATGTCTTCGCTCACACCTGTTGTCGCCGGGCCGGCCGGGCAGCGATTCCGAGGGTCGTTTTGATCGCTCCGTCTCTCTCGCACCCGTACGGGACTTCCCATGAGTGCGAGAGAGACAGAGCAACGAAAAGGACCCTCGGAACCAGTGTGCTGGCCGTGCTTGCCTGGAACGAGAGCGGCCCATTAAGGCATTAGGTCGACTTAGTTTATATTCGCACGCTGCTTGCAGTGCAGGCACGCAGGCCCGCAGGCTGCCTGACAAGGAGGAAAGGAAAGAATGGCGGGCACGGCGACGGGCTGCCTTC